GCCGATGCATTTCTTAAATCCCATGTACCAAGAGGGAGTTCAAAGGCGTTTGTCTATATTTCCTTTAACAAATTTGACTTGACTTGAAAGACTGAGTCATTTCGTTTTTTATTCATATTCGTGTCATAAATCATACGTCCATCGTTGGAAATCTACTAGGGAAATCGAGAATATAGACTTTAAGACCGCAGCAAAAATCGCGGCGGACAAACATACCAATAAACCACCCTCTTAGCCTGATTCAGGGGATTTAAATTTACGACCGCAATTTTAGGCTTTCAATTTGAACGCTTGCCGCCAAACGAACCAAATGTCTACTAGGCTTAAGGGAGTTCAATTACAAAGCAGAAGCCTACTCACCATGCTATAAACTTCTTCAAGCATTCTCGGATATAGAGATACAATGTCCAAAATGTGCATGGATAATCTTAAGAAATCTCTTCGCTTTCTCCGTTAAAGGAGGGAAGTGAAGTGACTGGGCACTCATGTGGATTGGAGAATCGGGTTAACCAGTCACAGATACGGAAAGCAGTCCCCTGCAGGCAGAAAAATACCTAACGTCCTCGAGTTTCCCGAAAAGACAAAAATAAGCCAGAATTTTAGAACAAGTCAACCGAGCTTAAGCATCTTCCAATTAAACAGAGCGTTGTTGAAGTTTAAAACGGACCGTAGGGTCTCATTAATCACGGAATCTTACAAAGCTCACGAGAACAGAAGATAACAACCGGAAGGAACGTACTACAATCTCTCACAATAAAACAATACCACAGGGATTTCGAGTGGATTGCAGCAAATACATAGTCATCAAAGGAATGACAGAATTCATATCTGACACACCAAACTTGCGAATACAAGAAGACATGGAATTATTCAAACAATGCCTCAAGCAACCTCTGAGGGGGAATAGATATTAGAAGTTCTCAATACCTTCCGAATAAGGCATTCAGATGATGAGCAGGGCCAACCAAGACGGTTGAAGGGTGTCTTGCACAGTGGAGTTGAGTCCCAACAGGAAACCAGTACTCAGATGCCCCCACCGAACGACGTTTTCTTTTAAGCCGCGGGGCGGGAGAAATGGGACTGCTCAAAGTAGTAAATGCGAAATCGGCGATCGCAATCTCCGAATACTAAACGGAGATATCGTACCTGTTCCTATAATTATCTCATCCTGAATTCAGGGGTCCGACCTTGGCGGCATGAGATGTCAGCACGAATAGTTAACAAGTAAAATTTATGTCCCAAATGTGTAACCTAATTTCCGTTCTTTTTGGCTACAGTATCCTAGCAAGTAAAAACGACCCATACAATTTTGCACAACTTATATCCACACAACCCCTATGTCCGGAAAAAATACACAACGAAAAAGGCGAGATAATTTCATTTCATATATTTTACAATTTATAAAATAAAGGGTAAATAAGTATTTTGGCGTTTTACTCCTTCGAGGATATTGGCGGCCACTTGGTTTGAAAGGAAGCGCGGTGTTCGTCTTGTATCCACGGTGTCAGTTCCTTGAGGAGGACTAAAAAAAGTGAGGGGAATAGCAATGGAAAAAATGAATGCTTACACTGGGGATCCTCTTTTAGACAGGCCTCCAACGCCCTCCGCGAGGACACCTTCTTAGCCAGCAATTTTGACACCACACCTCGAACCTCCGTGCGAACCCTAGAAGGCAAAATGTTAACGAATAACTCGTGAAATTAAAATGCCTACTTATCTGTTTAAAGTAGTCTCTTATATACGGATAACAACCGCAGAGCCTGCCCATTTCTTCAGGTTGCTGCTGAAGGATTCTTTAAGGTTAACGATGCAGTGCTTTCGCTTTTTTAAATCGGACCAGAGCACGGAGAAAAGAGTGGTGATTTAGCGTGGACATATGCAGGGAATGTGGAGTCTGGTGAGCGATATCTAATCAGGTCCTTACATAAGTGGCTACAAACCCTTAGCATACTCCTGGCCTACGGCGCTCAATTCTTGACTATTCTACTAGACATTATGACTTTTAACATCGCAATAATAATACAATAAACACGCTTATCTATCCAGCTGCTTAAAAACCATTCCACTTCACCTCCTCCTTGTTTTCTTCCCACCTTTCCCCACTTCTGTCGTTATACGAAGCACGTTAGGACGACAGTCTACTTCGACACGATCCTCCGTGTGCCTCACAGCATGGTGACAAAAGGAGAATGACATGCGTTTGGTTTATTTAATAGTGGCAGTAAACTTACACTGCAGCTATCGCACTCCCTCCCCCTCCCCACCATGCCATGACCAAGTCAAGAAAATCAGAGGCGAGCATAGGGCACAGATGGTTGGTGCGGCCGGAACCACCTTAAGGCGTGCGGAGACACCTAGCACGGGTCATACTGAGCGGGAATACCAGAGGTTACATTAAGGAGTCATTACAGAGGCTAGGCGGCTGCTTGAATCGTATCCGGATTAAACTAGGTATTTTGATAAGATATGCTTTTAAATAACTTACTAGGCCTATGTAGACCTATACATATAGTAGCAGATATGCGTACACCGATCTGTCAGAGGACCCGCTAATCCGTCCATATTGCCATTAGTATTCTCACTCTCGCTTCCGCCGCGAGGCGACTAGGATATAGGCAGAAGGACATTACCAGCAAAGCAGGGGACACTAGGAAGGCCTTCTCTGGCTCATTTGCCGTCATCGGCTAGTGATACCCAATCCCAGTGTTGCCGCTGAAATTGCTGCCACACTCGAGTTTTGAACTCGGGTCTCTCTGGTCAGAGACGAACGTCCTAAACATTGAGCCACGAGCTCACAGTCTTGCCTGTATTAGATAAGGGACTGATAAAGATTGGCTACATGGCTCCCTGAGCAAGACACGGGGATAGGCCTTAACCTTAAATCTAACTCTAAGAT